ACTTTTGGATGCCGCAAAAGCAGCCCTAAGAGGGAATTATATAGCAATACAGGCTAGCTCAGGATGAAAAAAAAATCTCAAATAAACAACCTAACCATACACATTAAGGAGCTAGAGAAAGAACAACGAATTCATCCTAAAAACAACAAATGGAAGGCAATAATAAAAAATAGATCAGTAATAAATGATACAGAAACTAAAAAACAACAACAACAACAGAACAGATCAACGAAGCCAGGAGCAGTTTCCTTGAAAAAATTAACAAAATTGACAACCCTATAGCCAAACATGAAAATAGAGGGAGGAGAGAGAGAGAAAGAGAGAGAGAGAAAGTACCTACTAAATAAAATCACAAATAAGAAAAGAGAAATAACAATGAACACTACAGAAATACAAACAATTATAAAACAATATTATGAAAAACTATACTCTAACAAATTGAACAACCTGGGAGAAATGGATAAATTCCCAGAAAAATATAAACTACCAAAACTGAAATAGGAAAAAATAAAAAAAATTAACAGACCGATAAATAGCAAAGAAACTGAATCAGTAATCAAGAAACTCCCAACAAACAAAAGTCAAGGACCAGATGAATTCTATTAAACATTTAAAGAAGAGTTAATGCCTATTCTCAAACTATTCCAAAAAACAGAAATGGAAGGAAAACTTTCAATTTCATTCTACGAGGCCAGAATTTCCTCAATACCAAAACCAGGTAAAGGTTCTACTAAAAAAGAACTATGGGCCTATATGTCTGATGAACATGGAACATGCAAAACTTCTCAGTAAAATACTAGCAAATCAAATACAACAATATATTTAAAAAATTATTCACCATAATCAAGTTGGATTTATTCCTGGATAGTGAGAGTGGTTCAATATTAATCAATCAATCAACATGATACACCACATTAATAAAACAAAGGAAAGGAGCCATTTGATCATTTCAATAGATACAGAAAAAGCATTTGACAAAGTACAACACCCATTCGTGATCAAAACCCTCATCAAAGTAGATTTAGAGGGAACATATCTCAACATAATAAAGACCCTATATAAAAAACACACAGCTAATATCATCCTCACTGGAGAAAAACTGAAAACTTTTCCTCTACAGTCAGGAACAAGGCAGGGATGTCCACTCTTACTACTTTTATTCAACATAGTACTGGAAGTCCTAGCCATAGCAATCAAATAAAAAGAAATAAAAGAATCCAAAATTGGCAAAGAAGAAGTCAAACTTTCACTAATATTCTATATAGAAAACCCATGGGGCACCTGGTTGGCTCAGTTGGTTAAGTGTTCTAATTTGGCTCAGGAAATGATCTCACAGTTCATGAGTTCAAGTCCCATGTTGGGCTCTGTGCTGTCAGCACAGAGCCTGGAGCCACTTTGAGTTCTGTGTCTCCCTCTCTCTGCTCTTCCCCACTCATGCTCTGTCTGTCTCTATCTCTCTGTCTCTCTCTCAAAAATAAATAAACATACAAAATTTAACAAAAAAAGAAAGGAAACCTTAAAGACTCCACCAAAAAAATTAAAAAACTGATAAATGGATTCAGTAAAGTCACAGGATACAAAATCAACATACAGAAATCTGTTGCATTTCTATACACCAATAATGAAGCAGTAGAAAGAGAAATTAAGAAAACAACTCCATTTGCAATTACACCAAAAGTAATAAGATAGGTAAGAATAAACCTAACAAAAGAGATGAAAGGCGTATATGCTGAACACTATAAAAGATTCAGGAAAGAAAATGAAGATGACATGAAGTAATGAAAAGACATTCCATCTTCACAGTTGGGAGAACCAGAACAAATGATTCTAAAATGTGTATGGAACCACAGAAGACCTCTAATTACCAAATAAATCATCTTGAAAAAGCAAACAAAAGGTGGAAGCATCACACTTCCAGACTTCAAATTATATTACAGAGCTACAGCAATCAAAACGGTACAGTGCTATTGGGGAAATCTGGCTGGTTCAGTCAGTAGAACATGCAACTCTTGATCTCAAGGTCATGAGTTCATGAGTTGGAACCCCATGTTAGGTGTAGATATTATTTACAGAAACAAAAACAAAAACTTGCCTAAACAAAATAGTATGGTACTAGCACAAAAATAGACAGATAGATCAATGGAACTGAATTGAAAACCTAGTAGTAAACCCACAACTAAATGGTCAATTAATCTTCGATAAAGCAGGAAAGATATCTGATGGGCAAAAGACAGCTTCTTCAACAAATAGTATTCAGAAAACTGGATCCACCTTGCAAAGGAATGAAACTGGACCTTTATTACATCATACACAAAAACAAATTCACAATGGATTAAAGACCTAAACGTGAAATCTGAAACCATAAAAATCCTAGAGTAGAACACAGGCAGTAATTTCTTTGACATCAGCCGTAGCAACTTTTTTAAAGATACGTGTCCCGAGGCAAGGGAAACAAAAGCAAAAATTAACTATTTGAATTACATAAAAAAAATCTTCTGCACAGTGGAATAAAAACTTTAAAAAATAAATTAAGCAACTTTATATGAATGAAAAAAAGAAAGAAATGTAATATTCAGTGTCATCAAAAGTATAAATATATACTGTTAATAGTATAAACCTGCACAATTATTAGACGGTCAGAGTGACATTATGGTTACCCTGAAACTGGAATTATTAAAGTATAAGATTAAAAAGTTATAAGTTATAGGGGCATCTGGGTGGTTCAGTCAGTTAAGCATCTGACTTCAGCTCAGGTCATAATCTCATGGTTCCTGAGTTCCAGCCCCACCCTGGGCTCCATGCTGACAGCTCAGAGCCTGGAGCCTGCTTTGGATTTTGTGTCTCCCTCCTTCTCTACCCCTCCCCCACTCATGCTGTCTCTCAAAAATAAATAAATATTAAAATAATTATAAGTTATAAAGTTAATTGAGAAGTTTATCTTATATCAACTTATATTGCTACATAGAGATTTTCATGCAAATACATGTATTTTATTATTCTTACCATAATATAAAATTTAAAATTGTCAATGTTCATTAAAAAGTTAACGTTAACATAAATTATGGAATTTTTACATAATGAAAATATTTTTAGTCATTAAAGAATATACTTTTTTGTAATCTGTCTCTTATGTATTGTAAACAAGAAAAAGGCAAATTACAGAAAAAATATATCATGAGATATTTTAAATAATATTAGTATGTGTATATGGAACAGAAAATTACTTGACACTTTAACGTGTTAACTGCTGAATTAACTGTTACTTGAGTTTTCCTCTGAACTTTCCCCTCTCCTGATTCCAATTGTAATATTTCAGCTTCAGGGATATTTGTTTGGCTTAAAGCAGGACTGAATGAAGAAGACGATTCTCTTGCTGTGATGTTGAATGTACAAATTAGTGAAAGTAATTGTGTAAGATGGGTGGGAAGAAGAATGTTGATGAGCTAGCGTCCATATGGGTAATAGAAGGAAGCTTTGACAGAGTGAATGGGGAGTTTCTCAAAACCTAACAAAGAGACAGAGATCTTCAGGGCTTCTGGAAGGGTAGCATCAAGTCTTTAATAATATGTGTAACTTAATCTTTGACGTCAATGGGAGAGATTAACAAAGCCCGGGATGATGAGCAGCCTAGACTAAACAGTAAGGGCCTAAGACTGGAGCTGAATCCTGAATGCTTTGGGCTGCATAGGACTTTTGCACAATAATTACTCAAGAGAAAGAGGGGCAGGAAGCTCCAATAAGAACTAAGACAAAGATTTGTACTAGCCCGATTGGCTGGGGGCTCAAAGATTCAATTTTGTATTTAAACAAGTTAACATAAACATTTTATTTTTTTATTTTAAAAAATTGTAATGTTTTTATTTATTTCTGAGAGAGAGAGAGCATGAGCAAGGGAGGATCAGAGAAAGAGAGAGACACAGAATCCAAAACAGACTCCAGGCTCTGAGCTGTCAGCACAGACCCCGACGCAAGGCTCAAACTCACGAACTGGGAGATCATGACCTGAGTGGAAGTCAGCCCTTAACCAACTTAGTCACCCAGGCGCCCCAACATAAACATTTTAAAGATTAGTTTATGAACAGAGATTAAGGTCTGTTACACAAATAGATTATATAATATTAGTATTATAACATATAATTATAATATATATAATTAGTGATATCTTTATATAAATATATAAAAAAAGAGAAATAACTGAAAGGACATAGAATAATCTGGTATTAATAGTTACTTTGGAGGAGAAAAAGGAACATTGAAAGGAAAGAAAGGATTATTAATTTATATTTTATATTTTTCTGAATTGTTGGAGTTTGATACAATGAGTTATAATTTTATTGTAATTAAAAATAAAACAACACCAATGGTGCTAAAACTTAGAGTGGCCAATTGAATGTCCTGTGGACCTCAGTTTATTCTGGCTTTTCACAGTGGTCTCTCTCTTCAGGGCTTTTTTTATTTCCCAAAAGCTATTCAGTTAATGGTTTTCTCTACTTCTGCTTCACTTAGTCACTGAGCGTCAATTATTTTCTGGCCTCAATCCCCTGATGACAACTTTTGTTCTCTGCAATACCAGTCCACCCTATCACAGCCCCCATAGTCACTTCCTCCAAACAGTGCATTCAAGACGCAACCACTGACATCCCCAGCTCAGCCTCTGCCCATCACAACAATCAACTGGGATTCTGGTCTCTGATGGTAATGGTATGTTTAGGGAACCATGGTGCTTTCCTTCAAAATGTTTGAGGAGAGACATATCAGGGAAATAAATGATCTCTTTTTTATGGTAGATACTTATGGAAGTCATCGAATATTAAAATACAGCACAATAAATGTATAAATAGATTAAGAGAATTTAAGGTTAAACCCAATGTCAAAGATGTTGACCAGCTCTGAGAATATGTACCTTTTTGTCTCTGTTCTGTTCGCCATCCTCCCCAGAAATCAAATGCAGAACACTTACATTCCCTTAGAGCTATCTGTGTTATCAGATAATTACTCACCAATCACCTTCAGCTCCAAAGTGGCTTCTTGAAAGTCACTGCCTTTTTTAAAAAAACACTTGTATATCCCACTGTCTGAGATCCGGAGACTGTAGATTTTCACAGATACTCTTCCCTCAGTGATGTAATCTTTCACCAACTCTGCTCTCCCTTTGAAATCTACCAGCTGCTCTCCCACCTGCTCCATTCCATCCTGATATACATACACAGCTTCTGAGAACTCAGAACGGAACCACCGCAGCTCCATGTTCTCCACACTCATGGCCGGTAACACATGACAGGGCAACATTGTGTCCGTGCCCAGCATGGCTACAATTGGCTCTGAGGGGCTGATAACCAAGAATGAATCTGTGGAATAGAGCCATAGTGAAAAGAATATCAATGACCTATCTGGACATTTTGGAATACAGCATCATTGACCCAGTAGAAGCCTGTAGACATTCTATCATTCATACACCAGTTTTCTGCAGCACACATTCAGACTGAAGATGGCAGTGCACAAGACAAAGAGTATCTCTACCCAATCAATAGAGTAATCTCTTATTAAATAAATTTTAATTGCAATGATGAGAAATTCTATGAGTTACGGAAGAGTGCTGGGAAATCATGAAACTAAAGTTTTTAATTAGGTCTTGGGCATCAGAAAAATGCAGTCTTCATAAAGCAGAGACCTGATTGAATTAGAAGACATTAATGAAATTATTCCACCTGGTCCTTCCCTCTAAACTAATCATATAATGGCTTATTTGCCTTCACATATGGGCAGATAAATCATTATATCAAAATAAAGGATTTGGAATGAACCCAGGCAATAGAGTAATTTACTCCTTCTGTTCAGAGAATAAGAAAATCCAAGAATATAAAATATAAAATATTCTTACCTGAGCCCCACATGGACACCTGGAGAAGTAGGATAGAGAAGAGGTCTCTTAGCAGAGAGAAGTCCAGGAAACTCACCATCTCTCCCAGAGCAGACAACAGTATGACACAGAATAAGGTCCTGAAAATAGCTGAGGTAAAGACAAAAATGGGATCTATAAGATTAAAATGATTCTAAGAAATGGGCTCCAGAAGCTCCCAAACAGCTATAGTGTCTCTCTCAGAGAACATCAAGAAAGCCTTTAACACTCACAAAAAAAGAACTTTTGTTTCCCTTTTCCAAAGAAACAATCTTTTTTTTAAGTTTATTTATTTATTTTATTTGAGAGAGTGAGGGAGAGTAGGGGGAGGAGTACAGAGAGAGAGAATCCCAAGCAGGCTCCATGCTCAGCATGGAGAACAACACGGGGCTTGATCCCACAGATGATAAGACCATGACCTGAGCCGAAACCAAGAGTTGGATGCTTAACTGACTGAGCCACCCAGGAGCCCCTCCAAGTAATCAGTCTTCATCTCAACAGCCATGTTCTACAATGATAAATCTGTCCACAATCTCTCTAAACTCTTCTCTAACTCAAGAGCATTTTGTCCAGTGGACAAAGAGACAGAGGAGAGGCAATGAGTAACCACAGAAAGAGATGGCTTTAGCACAAACATTAATATGGCTTCAACAAATTCCACTTCCCTTCATGTCTCATCCCCCACCACATTCCTATATGGTGGAGGAGCACTTATAACTTGGCCTGTCCTCTGTCAGCCCTTAGGATCCTTGCCCAAATGCTCTCACTTCTCTCTCCCTTGCCCATCACCCACAAAAATGCAACACTTACATCTTTTAAGTTCTTCTTACAGAAATGAAGGCATTCTGAAACTTCTCAGACTCAGGCCACAGGCACCAGGGATAAATACTCTGATCCATTCCTCCCAGTTACCCGCTCTTGGCTGCCCACAGGTATTTCCAAAATGTCAAGAGGAGATCAGACTTTGCAAAACACGGGGTCCAGGAGGAAGCCTGGGATGGTTTTTTAAGGGGCTTAAGACAACTGGGAGAAAGACAGCCCCTGCATAGGACTCTCTCAGCAGTACACTTCTTTTTGATGACCATAACACACTCAAAACTGAAAGTAAAATAAGATAAGGAAAGAAGACTTTGACCAGTCATGTTTAATAAATCTATCTAATGATTACACACTTACAAAACATAGACAGGATCAAAAACAAGTCATTTCTTTTTTTCTGAGAAGTATATTGTTTAGGTTAATAACTATCTGACTTAACATCCTGGTGAGGCTATTTATAACTTAATGATTTTAAGCAAGTTACACAACCTCCATGTGCCTCAGTTTCCTCATGTGACAATGGGTTGGATAATAGTATGTACCCTGTTTTGTGTGAGGAGTACATGAATGTATGGAAAGTACTTAGAACAGTGTCAATAACTTATAAATTATATGTAAGTTCTTAACAATTTTTATTTTAATGTCTTGCTCATTCACCACAGTAATCTGCCATTCTGATGATGAATTTTCATCTTTCACTTGGACCCCTCATTCCATTAAGCAAGGAACTGAGAAGACATGTACACATTCACACTCTTGTCCCAAACAGAAATTTTCTCCACTAACATCCAGATTTTATCCATCTCAACAAGGATAGAAGAAAAACAGTATAAATTTCCCAAATGATCCTCTGAGGTTTTCATCTTCCTTCAATGCTATAAATAATGGAAGAGGTAATGATGAGATTACTGTCCCTGTCTACATAAATCATTTTTGTTTTGAAGATCCTTTAAGTTCTATAATTCTAGAATAATTGTTTCTGACTTAGAATGACAGAAAGAAATTATGAGTTAGAGACTAAAAAAAATTTTTAAACTCTAATTTACATTTTTGAAAATCTCTGTCTCAGATTGAACATCTATATGTGGTTTATAAGAGAAATAGAGAACAAGAAATAAATATAAACCAGACATATTCTAATACAGTTGTAGATATGGCACTATTAATTTAAAAAATATAACATTCAGAGAGAAATTATTCAAAGAAACAAAATTGCCCTTTCAAATAGGTACATTTAGTAACAACACAGACTTCTGGATGGTGCTAATAGCATACAATTGGACTAAAAAGTGCAAAATCAGTTGGGAACTCAAAAAGAAATTTTAGTTCTAATTTAGTCAGAAATGAACAGAACTATTATAGAGCATATAAATGAAGTTATAGAAGTTTTAAGCTAGATAAACTATGCTATATCAAACTCTTATGACTTTGTGAGATCTAACAATTTCTCTTAATTTTTGATTAATATAAATCCATTGCAGGCAATTAACATGGATTAGTAGAAATGACCCATGTGACACTTATCTAACTCTGTCCTCCACTGTGCTGGGTGTTCCAGATCTTTTGCAGGCCTTCTTATATAAACAAATACCAAGATTTTGCTTATTTCAAGTATTCTTTGAAACTTGGTTAGGTATGTAATCTCAATAGGGATTTGGATTTACATTTTCTAAACAGTCAGGGATTCGACATGAATATAAATGATACTTGACCTTAAATTTATGAAATAAGTCACTACCACAGAAAAGTCACAGTTTCCCTTGGAGGCAACTGCTCTATTGGGAGAGGCTACCAGAAAAAGAAAAACACATAGTCAGCATGTGGCTCCTCCATTCTTAGGTAACCAACTTCAATAGACAACATCTGCCAAATCTCCTATCTTTCCACCTTACTTCAACCCAGATAACAGTAACCACTCAAAGTGAGTAAACAGAGCATGAGATGTATCTCCAAACCTTCTCCCTGCTCTAAGCCCCTGCGGTCAAAACCCGCAACCTTCACTCTTTGCACAAGAGAAGTTTTGTGAGGGGGAAACTTATGATTCCTTACTTGTCCAGAAATTTCTTTTGCCCTTACATTTCGATGTTCATTTGTCACTTAGATAATTCTAATTTCTACTCAGGGATGTAAAGGCTACATTTAATTATTTTCTAGCAATGAATTCAACATTCAACATGACAGATGTATGATGAAATCTAATTCTTCTTCTTTTGTACATAAGGAGTTTTCTGGACTTTGGAAGCTTTGAGATTTTTATTTGTTTGGAGTTCTAAAACTTTTAAAAAATCTATGCATAAATGACTTTTTTTTCCTCCAATAATCTAACACTTTATGAAGTACTCTTTCTTCTGATTCTGGCTCCTAATCTGCTTCCCGGTTTGGAAAGCCTATTAGATGAATGTTGAAGTTCTGGATCTAATGTGCTTAATTTAACTTATGTTTCTTAGATTTTATCTCTTTGATTTAAGATATCATATTCTGGAAGAATCCAGTAACCCCATTTTTCTAGCACAATATATATTTTTTCATTTTAATTTAAATTCCAGTTACTTAACATATAGTATGAGTTTCAGGTGTACAATTTGGTGATGCAACATTCCATGTGTCTCCAAGTGCTCTCTCCCAATATTTTGACCTTCAGCGGTGCCTGCTCCCGTATCTGACCCTTTCACTTGATTTTTACTTTAAGCCAGTTTTTCACTTTCATGAATGCTGTTTCTTTAGTCTTGTGTTTCCTATAAATGAATCCTTCCTATTGTACTTCACATTTCTATTTTTAAAAATCTTTATATACATATTATTCTTTATCAGGTTAGAGAAATCAAAAAATTCTAGATAAGCAAAAACAACAAATAGAAACACCCATATTTGGGGGCTCTTGATGGTTCAGTCAGTTAAGCGTCTGACTTTGGCTCAGGTCATGATCTCACAGTTTGTGAGTTCAAGCCCCACATCAGGCCCTGTGCTGACAGCTCAGAACTTAGAGCCTGCTTCAGATTCTGTGTCTCCCTCTCTTTCTGCCCCTCCCTTGCTCATACTCTGTCTCCCTCTGTCTCTCAAAAATGAATAAACGTTTAAAAAATTAAAAAAGAAAGACATGAGGGGGGTGATGGGCATGGGGGAGAACACTTGTTGGGATGAGCACTGGGTGTTATATGCAAACGAACTTGACAATAAACTATTTAAGAATAAATAAATAAATAAATAAATATCTGTTAACGAAAAAAAAAGAAAAAAGAAAAAAAGAAACACCCATATTTGTATCACTCAAAAATAAATACCATATGATAGCTTTCTTTGTGATTTTGATATCTATCCTTTCATATTTCTTAAGCAAATAAGATCATACTGTTCACACTGTCTTAAAACTGCTTTTTGAAATGAATAACATCTTGTAGTGCTCACTTACCCTCCCTCTTCACCTTTCCCCTTAAAAACATGAACACTATTATATAGACATGATGTAATTCCCTTAAAATATTCTCCACAGATTAACTGACTTTTCTCAAACTATTCTCCATTATTGGAAAAAATGTTTAAAATATGTATATGAAATTTTCACACTTATTTTTTTTGTTTTGTTGGAAATGTATATTAATCTATTTGTGTTTGGGAACAGAATACACACAAAAACATATTCAGAAACTGCAAAGCAAACAAGAGGCATGCAGTATCTTTAACCCTTACTTTGTCTCTTTCAGCATTCCCTTCTCATTCCCAAATACTTCAGACTTAAACTATTAGGTGGATGTCAGAGCCCAACTGAGAGAGAGGGGTCTCAGCGGGGAGAAGTGCCCTACATGATGGCAGAGGGCATGAGTAGCCAAAGAGTGAGTGGGGTGGGAAAGTAACCCTGAAGAGAACAGTAGAAGAATATATTGTACTATAATCAGACAATACCATATTATGCAGCAATAAACGATTTTAAATGTACTGATACTCACAACATGGTTGAATCTCCAAAAGACATTTTGTTTATCCGAAGAAACCAAACACTAAAGCAGACATACTGTATGATTTCTTTTTTATTGTTTTTGAAGTTTTAGGATAGGCAATATTAAGCTATCATGATTTATATCAGAATAGTGTTTGTTTTTCCTGGAATGAGTTGGCTGACAGTGGAAATGAGGGAAATTTTCAAGAGACACATTTGTTCTATATTTTGAGGGAGGTGGTAGTTCTGTGAGTGTAAGCATTTGTAAGAATTCATTCAAATGTATATTTCAATGTATGCAAATCCATACATTCCAATGTTTCCAAATCCATACATTCCAATGTATGCAAATTATATCTCCAAAAATTTGATTTTTAAAGTCAAATGTATCTCACTGTGTCTAGAGAATATTTACTTAGGATCTTGGTATCCCTTTCACCAGACTGTTAGTGGCTTACATACTAATTTTTATGCAATAGCGATTTGTGTCCCTAATTATCTATAAACCATGTGTGACATGAAAAATCATGTCTTGGACTTGGAAAGAATGTCAAGTGGAAAGAAATTCTCTTTGAGCACATTCTATGTTTGGAACTGTAGAATTGTGTTATTGTTTCCATTTTACTTTATGGAGCCCTAAAGTTTTTGGATATACAGCCCTATATTTCTCAGAGCACATAAAGAGCCCTCCATTTCCGACCTCTTGTTTTCTCCCTCACAGCTCAGCATGTGGCTTCCAGTGTCAGCTGGGGTGTGGTAGGAGGAAGCCTGTATCTGTGATTCTTGTTCTCTAAATCTTAACTTTGTGAAGTAAACATTGGGATGAACTATATCCCTGAATATCACACAGGAAGAGGATTCTCCCTCACTGAATAATGTGATTTCAGCCTTTTGCAGGTAGAAGAAGGTGAGCATTTTTTTTTTACCAAAGCACACCTTAGACTTCCTATCATTTTATATCTTAACCCAGTCCAAAGTCCCCTAGGATGACCTGGATTACCTCTACTTTTCAAAGTAACAGGAAAAGCTGTAGGCAGGCTGTGACTTACTCATTTGACTCATTCTAGGAGAGGCATTCACCTGTAGGCGCCTCTTGGCAGTCCCGTTTACCCCCCTTCCTAAGTACATTTTCCAATCCAGGGATGGGTTAGAAACCTGCTACTCCCAGCGCCTACCGCCACACCTTTGGATGCCGACCACAAGAACAACCAGGTACCAATTGTCTCTGGAGATGGGGCTTGTAGTTCCACAGAGGAGATCAGGAGCTTCCAGGAAGTCCCCCTGGCTCAATCTGGATGTGAGAAAGAAATGTGTGGTGATGTGGAGGTGTGTCTCTGGGAAATGTGGATCCCAAAAACAAAAGGGCTTGAGTTCCAAATCACATGGTGAGAAAACTCCTTTCTCTTTCTGGAATTAAGCCACAAGTGTATTTGTGGTCAAAATAAATAGATGTATGAATGAATCAATGAATGAATTCAAGAAGGAGGAAGTTAGATTGGCTAATAGGAGTGGACTAATTTTGTGTCTGCTTTCATTTCTCAAAATGAACTCAGGGTTTTCAATTTCAAGAGAGCTTTGGTGAGAGGGTGAGTCCATAGATAAACAAGAGAACCCATAGGACACAAGAGAATGGTTTATAGTTTCTCTGCTGGAGAAACAGCTGGTTTTCAGAAAGAAGAGAGGGAAGGAAAATCCATTGGGGAAGGGGTTGGAATTGGTAGTAGTCTGTAAGGAATAACAGCCAAAAAACTGTATAAAAGTAAATCTTTGAACAGGGATTTTTTTTTCCTAAAAGTTTTCTCTCTGCTGACTTACTTATCACCTTTTCCCACAGAGTATTTCCTTGTCAGAGTAAACATTTTGTGCTTTTACTTTCTGCTCTGAAGAAGATGGTGGGTTCTCCCAGCTATTATGATGGCTTCCTCCTCCCTTTCCTCCTTCTTCAGGTGTCTACATGGTACTCAACAGGTCAGTGTTCTCCCTCAGGCTTTTTATTTATTGGCTTGTTTTCAATGGCTCCTCTTAGATGATGAAAATACTTGATCATCCATCAGTTGCCAGTGTATCTCCTTTCAAAGGCAGCCAATATTGGGGGGAAACTGTGACTGTGTTCACACTAACAGAACATTGGAAAGTTCTGGACGAGAATGGGAGTGATCTTTGTGTCAACGCCCCTTATATTGGTAGGCCTTAAAAAACTCATAGCTATAATGTTTATCCAAATCTTTATTGAGTATGGATGATTTTAGCCTGCTTAATTTTGATGTAATTATCAGTTAAAAATGTACTTTATAATGTTCACACTCCCAAGAAAACCCAGGTCTGAGCATAAAGAATTCTCAGGATCCCTGGGTTCTAGCTGGTTATCATCTTTGACAAATATTTTTTTTCTGGGACTTAAATTCTTCTTCCATAAATAGAATGGACCTTCAGGATAAAGTTTTCAGACTCCAGGTTTGTAGAGAAACCAGTTATGAGATTATAATAATGACTTTTTTTTGTTAACATCTCTTTAATTTGATGTCAGTTAGGCAGGGAACATTAAAATGTTTGATGTCCATACATGTTGACACAACAATTCTAAAAGAATTTATTTACCATAAAGAAAAGCTCTCCCATCGGTATACATATATATGTATTAAATGGGGGTACCTGGGTGGCTCAGTGGGTTAAGCAACTGACTCTTGATTTCTTCTTAGGTCATGATCTCGTGGTGTGGAAATGGAGCCCCAAGTCAGGCTCCATGCTGAAAGTGAAGCCTGCTTGGGGTTCTCTCTGCTCCCTCCTGCTTGTTCATGCACATGTGTGCATGAGCACACATGCTCTCTCTCTCAAAAAAAATCTTAAAAAAAAAAAAGAAATGCAGGTGGGGCTTTTGTCTCACCCCCCCTTACTCATTCCCTCAATCTGTCTGATTTTCATGCAGTGTCCGAGTTTTCTGTAAAGGGACCAGTTGAGCCCACCATGGTTCTGCTAGGGACAGATGCCACTCTGCCTTGTCAGCTGACGCCTGAGCAGAGTGCAGCCCACATGCACATCCGGTGGTACCGAGCCCAACTGTCCCCCGCTGTGTTTGTGTATCAGAATGGACAGGAACAATGTGGGGAGCAAATGCTGGAGTACCGTGGCAGGACAGAGTTGGTGAGGGCCTCCATCAACAAAGGGAGTGTGGCCCTGCTGATCCAACATGTTCGTGCTTCTGATCATGGCCAGTACCGGTGTCATTTTAAGGATGGTCACAATTCCCAAGAAGCCGTTGTGGAGCTGAATGTTATAGGTATGTTTACTTGGCACAGATGTGTGTACCATGGTATAAAGCAGAGAAAAATGAGGACATATGGATTCCTAACCTGGCATTTCTTATGATCTTTCATATATTGATATTGATATGTTAATTTACCTTTCAGGATGTCAGTTTCCTAAACTATACAGTGAGGATATGACTGCGTACTCTGTTCACTTTTAAACACCAAAGAGGACAATATTTTTGGAGATGTTTTGGTATCCTAAAAGGCCCCCAAAAATAAACTGACTAATATTAATTCATATCAGTAATGACACCCTCAGACATTAGTAGAATGATACCCAATCGATAGGAAAAGACAATTTATAGAATTAAACTCCTTTTTCTAAGTTTAATTGTACCTGTTTTTTCCTGTCCTTGAAATATCCCAAAGCTTTCTTAGTCCAAGTATAGTGCAAAGGCATCAAGTTGATTTCAAAACTGAATCACAGTTTGACCACTGTGAGAGGTTTCTTGACCTCTGAGCTTCAGTTAGCTCATCAGACTAGTGAGAGCACCTTGGCCTTCAGCCTCAGGGGCTCCTAAACCCCAAGGACCACAAGCCTTAGGAACATGCCTTCTCTTGTCAGGGTTGGGCTCTGTGCCTCTTGTTCACATGACGGGGCCTGAGGATGGTGGGATACGAGTGCTGTGTTCTGCAGATGGCTGGTTCCCAAAACCCAGGGTGCGGTGGAGTGACACGATGGGTGTAAAGCTACAGTCTTTCTCTGAGTCTCACACCCAAAATGAAGATGGGCTCTTCCATGTGGAAGCATCTCTTGTGGTCACAGACAGCTCTCTGGGCAATGTGACCTGTTCCATCCAGAATCCCCTCTCTGGTCATGAGAAAGTGTCAGCCATCTTCCTCCCAGGTGAGTGAGGCACAAACCCCAAGGCAGAGTAGGGGTGTGGAGAGGGCAGAGAAGAGGCAAGCAGGACTAAGGGAGCCTTGGAGAGAGGGCAGAACAGCCTCCAGGCTAGTCCTCACTGTGTCATCACATGGCTGTGTCAGAGCCCTTCTTCCCCAGGATGTCTCCATGGAAGCCAGCCCTGGCTGGGACAGTCCCTGTGCTGGTGCTCCTCCTCATTGGGATCAGCTACATTGGATGGAAAGAACACCAAGCCAAAGAAAGAGAAATAAAGAAAAGGAAGAAAGAATCTCAGGAAAGAGATCAGATGAAGAATGAAAAAGAATTGGCACTTAAGGCCAGAGGTAAATTGGGACAGCAGGACAAATCAGAGGTTCATGGAACAGCTGGGGGTACAGGTTGCATAACATAGAGGGCAAAATAAAAGGTTGCCAAAGTACCCCAAGGAAAACATGGGGTACCAGGAATTCCATAAAGCTGGGAATCCTATGGAAAGGAGAAAACCATGTGGGAAGCTTGGAGATTTGTGGGCAGTGGTCATCAGGCTTCTAAGGTGGGGCTCCTCAAACCACACCATGCCCTTCATGCATCTGTACCCAACCTATGCTGCTGTTTCTCCTTGTGGAAATGTCTTCCTCCATCTTCTCCTCCTATTCTTCCTTCAAGAATAAGCTTCTAAAACAATTAAAAAATATCTTACATTCTCAGTGACCCCATGACATTTCCCATGTAACTTTTCCTAACACTTGTCACTTTTAGATTGTCATTTCCTAGCACTTGTCAAGATTAGATTTCTAATCCTTCTCACCTACTTAACTATGGGACCCTTAAGGGAGGGCCACATCGAATTTATTCAACTACTCCATGAACTCCAGACCAGCTAAAACCCAGTTTGATAGACTTATTTTTATCTCTTCTTTCAGAGAACCTCAAGGCAGACCTCGGTGAGTCTTGCTTCTTCTCATGCCCTGTATAGAATTTGCTCCCTTTTCTACATCTGTTCTGGGTCTCTCACTGAATGTTCTTTCTTTCAGAACAGCGAAAGGCCCTATACCATGCAGGTAAGTGACTGGGTTTCCCACACCACTCAATGTTTTGATGCCCAAAACTTTTCCAGCTCCTTCTCCTCAGAGGGAAAGACTGAAAGATTTAATAGTTGTTGGTGGGAAAAAATAAGGGGGAAGGAGAAGAATGTGAGTCTCTGAATGTCTCAATTTGTCTTAACTAGATTTGTTCTGTTTTAGATTGGAAGAAGGCCCTGCTTTATCCTGGTAAGTAACTCTCTAACTTAGATCTTGCCATGTGCCTCTGATATTCTGAGTATAATAAGTGGAGACATAAAAACACACAAGCACACATCCACTTGCAAGTGGTTGGTTGTAAACTTAAAGTCTACTCTGAATTGGTCATAGGCTGGGATAACCCTAAAATAAAATTAAAAACGAATAAAATAAAATAAACAAAATGATATTTTATAGCTTTCATCCTCAATGAGGCATGCCACAAAGGTCTTAAAGTCACAGGTGTCTAGAACACTAGACACTGTTCTAAGTGTTGTCCAGACTTATTTCTCCAGCATCAGGTCAATTGAGGGGATTGCTTCTAAGATGAGACAGCAAGCAGGCGGTACATCCTTTGTCCTGTAGTTTCTAAACACTGCAATTGTTCAAAGAAAGAGAGTTGAGAAGAGACAACAATGAGCCAGGAGAGGAAATGCGTACCTCCTCTTCAGTCTGCGGGTATGCTTCCATCACAGCCTCAATTTGTATTGCTCTTTTACAGACTGGAGGAAGGAACAGTTCCAGACTGGTGAGTGGTCCTTTGTTTATCTTGTTGGGTCCTTTCCAACCTGCCCTTGATACCCCATTTTTCCCTTTTAACATCATCTCCTAGTTGAAAAGACAGAAATATCATTAGTCTGGCAAAGAGAGGGAAGAACATGAAGATCATTAACTATTGGCCTAAACTGAAAATTCTTGCTTGGATAAGCCACCCTGGTTGTATTTCTGCCTTCATATATTGGCCATGCTTTCTCATCGGTGTGTGTGTGTATGGTGGGGGTTCCACTTGGTTCTGAACAGAAATTGTAGACCCTGTTGAGGTGATCCCCAACCGAGTAAAAAGTGCTCAAAATGATGAGTAACTAAATCCCTCTTTTTAAAGTAGTCAGCTATCATGGAGTCTGTTACTAATTGAAGACCATAGTTCTAATTTGTAAAGAACATGGAAAGAACACTACTCTTTTTTTTTTTAATGTTTTATTTATTTTTAGGAGAGAGAGAGAGAGACAGCGTGAGCAGGGGAGGGTCAGAGAGAGGGAGTCACAGACTGAAACAGGCTCCAGGCTCTGAGCTGGCAGTCAGCACAGAGCCCGACGCGGGGCTCGAACCCACGAACTGCGAGATCATGACCTAAGCGAAAGTCGGACGCCTAACCGACTAAGCCACCCAGGCGCCCCAAAAGAACACTACTCTTAAGTAAACACTACAAGTCTCAGCTCATTCTGGCACTCTACCAAGACACTGATACTAGCATAGGTAATATAAGAAGAGACAAGTAACATTGAACCAATGGTGAGAGCACTCTAGAGCTCTGCCTCCCCCAACACACACACATTCAGGGGACAAGTGTTCTTTCACTACTCGATCTTGTTTTCCTAAGGTTTCACTTACACAACAACTTTCTGAAATATATAATGTTGGCCTTTACCTTACTTTTTCTTTACTTCCAGCCACTGTGACTATAAATCAGGAAATCTTTCATCAGAATAACTCTGACCCAAAGAGAAAAGAGAACGTCAAAGAGGAAACTCAGGATCTATCTTTCAGGGATAGGCAAGAAGACTGCAACCTTATCACACTGAATCAGGAAGGCTTCACCTCAGGAAAACATTACTGGGAAGTGGATCTTAAGGACACTGATGAATGGACTCTAGGCATTTATGAGACACCCACAGGCAGCAGTGGGTTACCCAAAGATCTACAAAACAAGAAATTCAGAGTCTTAGAGAAGAAAGGACATGAATACAGGGCTCTCAGCTATATCTCTGAAAACATTTGTTTTCAAATGGATCTCCTGATAAAAAGGTATCTACAAAAGATTGTTATTTTTTTGGATTATGATGACAACGACATTTCTTTCTATGACATGACTGAGGGTACACACATCTTCTCCTTCACTCAGGATAGTTTCTCTGGGTCACTCTATCCTTACTTCAACTTTAAATCCATGAAGCTCTCCTCATAAGCGTAATATTAAGTGTCTTAAAGGAAGAACCCATACTATGAAGATAATAGCTCATTCTCTGTAAACTTTCTAGAATGCTATTTTTTTAAATTTGTTTATTTCTTTTGAGAGAGAGAGAGAGTGGGAGGGGAGGGGGATATAAAGAGAGGGAGAGAGAGAATTTCAAGGAGGCTCCACACTGTCAGTGCAGAGCTCGATGCAGTGCTTGAACTCATGAAACATGTGAGTGTCAGAAGACCATTACCTGAACCAAAGTTAGACAATCAACTGAGCCACCCAGGCATCACAGTTCTGATGGGTGACCTCAGACTCACTGATTATGAGGCCTCTTGGCCTGAGACTCCAAGAGTCCCCATGACCAGAATTTCTGACTATATCCAGCAGTGCTTCTGAATTGCAGAGAAGAATCTTTTTGTTGTAGTTGTTGTTATAAATGCTGTTTCTTGCTTTATATTTAATATATCACAAACTGATAATTTTCTAAAACAAATTATTGTAAAAATGAAGTCAATAAAAAATGCATACAATTACAAGTTGTAGTTTATTGTTAGATTCAATATTATTTTTTTTAAAATTTTTTCAATGTTTATTTATTCTTAGAGAGAGAGAGGGAGAGAGGGGTGGAAAGGGGGCATAAAGAGAGGGAGACACAGAATTCGAAGCAGGCTCCAGGTTCTGAGCCATCAGCACAGAGCCGGATGCAGGGATCAAACCCACAAGCAGTGAGATCATGACCTGAGCCAAAGTTGGATGTTTAACCAACTGAGCCACCCAGGCACCCTTAGAGTCAATATTCTTGAAATTACTCTGTCAACTTACTCTAAAATATTAGAAATACTCTATTTTTATACTTGTCTCATAAAGAATTTGTAAGAAATAGTTAATACAGTCCACTGGTCTGTGAATCATACTTTAAGTAATACTGCTAAAGCAGTATTCAAAGGAGTGAAAGTTAGATAAACTTCCTCACATTTCCCAAAGCAACACTGAATTAAAGTGACAAGATAGTGTTATTTTCAAATATTGAAGGAGAAAAGTTAAATTATAATTTGATTTAAGCTAAGCTGATCTTAAACGCAAGAACAATTTGAAGAAAGAAAAAATAAATATCAATCATAATCCAATTGTAACAAATGTGATGATGTCAACATCATAGCAGTCTTGGAAAACCAATGAGGTGAGAACATATTGAAGAATTTATCTTATTAAAGAGAGAGAGAGGGAGATTTTACTGCTTTGCCCAAGATATTAATAAGGGAAATGATTATATATTTGGGGGAATTCTAAGTATAGACACCAACAGAGGTAAGGAAAGGGCCTTCTTCTTCCAAAAAAACTGTTGTATGAAAATGAGATGACTAGAGAAAACAGTATTTAAACAGGGGTAAGAAGAAAATGTGCTCCTATGAGCAAGACTGAAAAACCTGGTAAATTCTGTGGATATGGGATAGAATGCCCAGAAGAGTCTTGCCACACTGGCAGGGAATAATTATCCATAGACTAAAAACTGATCCAATACTGATGAACAAATCTTAAAAGCAAGTCTCAAAAGGATCAAATTATTTACAAGCATCCAACTTCTTTCCAGAGCAGAGCTCAAGTTAAAATTCACAGTGTCTGACAGTCAATCAAAAATACCAGTGTTGGAAATAAGCAGGAAAATCCAACTCATAATGAACAGAAAATCAATAAATTAAAATTGACATGGAACATAGAGATTTAACAGACAAGGAGATTAAAACAGAAGTTATAACTATAGTCCAGATATTTAAAAAGTTCACTATATTCTAGATATTCAAAAAGTTCACTAGAAATATGCATTTGAAAGAAAGACCCATCTTTAGAAGGAAAAGACCATGAATGAGATTAAAATTATGTTGGATATGACTGGTATCAGATTAACCATTACAGAAATAAATGATTACTGAACTTGAATACATAGAAACGGAAACTATCCAAAATAAAACACATATTTTTTAAGTATTTTTTAAAAAAAGAGTATCAGTGAGCTGTGGGAAAACTTTAAAGGACCCAATACAAAGGCAACTGAAGTCTTTGAAAAGAAGAGGAGAAAGGAGAGAAAAAGGATTTGAGAAAATAAGAGCCAAAAATATATTCTAAATTTGATCATCATGAACTCCAGTTCCAAAAAGCTGTCCTAGTCTATAGGACAAAAATCATACACTCAGTGTATGCTATAACAAAAATCATACACTCAGTGACATACAAACCAAAGAAATTTATTTCTAATTTTTCTGAAGGCTGAGAAGTCCAAGATCAAGGTGCCTTCAGATCGGGGCGCCTGGGTGGCTTAGTCGGTTAAGCGTCCGACTTTCACTTGGGTCATGATCTCGCGGTTCGTGGGCTCGAGCCCCGCGTCGGGCTCTGTGCTGACTGCCAGCTCAGAGCCTGGAGCCTGCTTCAGTCTGTGACTCCCTCTCTCTCTGACCCTCCCCTGTTCACGCTGTCTCTCTCTCTCTCTCTCTCTCTTTTTCTCTCTCTCTCCTAGAAATAAAAAATAAATAAATAAATAAAAATAAAAATAAAAAATAAAAAAAGATTTGGTGTCTAGTGAGAACTAGTTCCCTGGTTTGTAGATGGTTGTCTTCTCACTGAGTCTTCACATAGCTGAAGGGGTTTTAGAGCTCCGTGGGGTCTCCTTTTAAGGACACTAATTCCATCCATAAGGACCCTACCTTCATGTTTTAATTGCTTTCCAAATGTGGAAATATTAAACACCATCATCACCTTGAGGATTAGGTTTCAATATATATGCATTTTGGGAGCACATAAACATTCATTCCATAGCAAAGTTCATGAACTCAAAGCACAAAAATAAAGGAAACATAGCATATGAAAATCAAATTACTCAAAATCAGAGATTTAAAGAAGCCAAAGTAAAAAATTAAATTATATTCAGAAGAATAAAGATAAAGATGAAAACATATTTTTCAGTGTAAACAGTGCAAGTGGGAAAACGGTGGAGGAACATTATAAAGTACTGGAAAAAATATATATCATCAGAATAGGACTTAATACCCAGTGAAAATTTTTAAAAGCAAATGTGAAATAAATATGTTTTCATTTATAGACAAGCAAAAAAGAAAAAAAAAAAAGCAATCATCACCAGCAGACCCACACTACAAAAATGATAAAAACAGTCCCTTTAAACAGAAGGAAAATGGTAACCAATGGAAATTTGTATCTATATAAAGGAATGAAGAACACTGGAAATGGTATGTGTATAAGTAATTATAGAATTATTTCTTTTACTTGTTTAAATTTTTTAAAAGATAAGAGACTCTTTAAACAAAAGTAATAACTATTAAGAATGGGATTTACAGAGTGGAATGCAAGATGGTGGAGAAGTAGGGAATTCCATACATTTGTCTCGCCCCCATCTCTCAAACAGAGAAAGCCTGAAACCTCAGGACACTAAACCGCAGGAGTATGGGAGGAAAAGAGACAAAGCCCACTAAGAAGACAGCCTCATAGGTGTGTGATTGCGAACTGGGGAAGATAAAAACGGTCTGGGACCCAGAGACATGGAGGGAGGAGAGGGAATCCCCTCCCAGGGAGCTGTGGTGAGTCAAGGGGAAGAGAAAGAGCAGCTGAAACTGCTCATAGAACTGTCCCTGGAGAAGAGAAAAACCTCCACCCGAGATGGAGAGGGATCCTATCATCCCATCCCTAACCTCAGGGCGTTCAGAAAGGGATCCTATTTCTAGCTGTGGTACTGACTTTGGGCTGGTTGCCCTGGTCCCAGGCGGCACCAGGAGAAACTGCTCCTCTGATCTTCCAGCTCAATCCCCAGCTGAGAAGAGGCCGGCCTATGGGATTACATTTTGGGCGGTATCAATAAAGCACATGGACTAAGATCTGGAAATTAGGCGGGGCTTGGTACATAGAACACAGTCCACCTTGGCTATGCCCACGGCATAGTAGAAGGGGAAAAAATAGCTGGGGAGAGGGAGGGAGGCAAATCATGAGAGACTCTTGAATACTGAGAACAAACTGAGGGCTGATGGGGGTGGGGGAGAGGGAAAGGGGGGCGATGGGCTTGGAATAGGGCACTAGTTGGGATGAGCACTGGGTGTTACATGGAAACCAACTTGACAATAAACTATGAAAGAAAAAAAGAAACAAAAACAGAAAATGCAGCTGTCCTGAGACCAGTAATTTCATATGTCAGGATCCAGTGCAGACCAATATTTCTTGACCATCCCCTTATATGCAAACCCCTTATACTGCAGTCCTTTTTATTAAAGGTACTTACCTTATTATCATCTATTGTACTGCCCCCTCCTATACTCAGGCATTCATTGTGGACTATTATAAACAAAACAAAAACGACCAGAAATGACCTCTTAAGTAATAATTGAAACTACATTTATAGTTTTGGAAAACCCACAAAGGAAAAAAATCAAGCCATTTGTTTTGGAGATTTAAAAATGGTATCTTAGACATTAATAGCCTGGCTGGAGTTAGAATTTCTTCTTCTTTTAATAGAAATGCCTCTGTAAGCTTATAGGGACACAAAAACGATGTCTAAAATGTTCAGCAGCCTATATTTCAGACCACAACTTTTAAAATCCCCCAATTTTGGTGTAGAGGTGGAATTTCAATGGTTATCAATAGATCTGAGATCATGAGAAGATTATTCTAAAGATTACAAGTTGAGATGAAAACCAGACACTCCAATATGCTAAGCTTTCCAGAATATTTCTTTCCTTCTTCCTTTGTTTCTTTATTGAATATTTCAAGTTAGAAACAATGAAGGTTCCATCAGATTATCCACAATGAATTTATAAACTTGCATGCTAGAATGACAGGTAGAGCTCACAATCTTCTAACTTATCTATAAATAACTTGGAAAAAATATTATGCTCTATTTATTTTACTTATTTTCATTTTTAAATTTTATTTTAATCCAAGTTAGTTAATATATAGTGCAATAAGATTTCAGAAGTAGAATTTAGTGATTCGTCATTTACATATAACACCCAGTGCTCATCCCAACAAGTGCCCTTTTTAACG